AGAACTGGTTTCGAAATTACCCGCTTCGCTGAAGTATATCTGTCACAATGGCGCGGGATATGACAACATCGACGTGGCAGCATGCACGAACAAAGGTAGAATAACGTGACCCTCAAACTTCCAAACCAGAACTCACGACTGACAAAACCACAGGCATTCAAGTATCATCTACACCCGTAGCCGTCAACTCCGCTACAGCCGACATCGCCATCTTTCTCATGCTGGGAGCCCTCCGCCGGATCCATAACCCATACAGCGCACTCCGAACCTCCCAATGGCGCGGCCCCGCCTTCCAACTCGGCCATGACCCTCAACAGAAGGTCCTCGGAATCCTCGGCATGGGCGGAATTGGTCGAGAAGTCGCAGCTCGTGGACGAGCTTTCGGCATGACCATCTACTACCACAACCGTAGCAAACTCTCACCCGAGATCGAGCAAGGCGCTAAATACGTCAGTTTCGAGGAGTTGCTCCAGACGGCCGATGTCTTGAGTCTGAACTGCAGTTTGAGAAAGGAGACTGTGGGAATTATTGGCAAGAAGGAATTTGCGCAGATGAAGAAGGGTGTGGTGATCGTTAATACGGCGAGAGGAAAGTTGATCGATGAGACTGCGCTTGTGGCTGCGTTGGATGAGGGGAAGGTCTTCAGTGCGGGTTTGGATGTTTATGAAGAGGAGCCCAAGATTCACGAGGGGCTGCTCAACAACCCTAACGTGGTCCTTCTGCCACATATCGGAACTGCTACAATGGAGACTCAGGTAAGCTTTTTCCTCATGAAAATTGAATCGTCTGCTAATTCAAGGACAGAAAAACATGGAGCTGCTGGTCCTGGACAACATGGAAAGTGCGGTCAAGAAGGGAAAGCTTATCACGCAGGTTTCCGAGCAGGAGAACAAGTCAAGGTTGTGAATAATACCATACATGAGATTTAGGTTTTAATACATCGTCGATGAGTTCTTCATTTGCCGCTATCTCAGTTGTTGATTTACCCACGCTGTCCCATCTTCCAGCCCTGTCTTTGGTTGGTTTGTCCAGGAAAAAACGGGACTTCAATATGTGCCATGCACTCAAATGCCGGGCTCCATACAGCCACAGTGGTAGGCTGGCGTATCCTACCGCTGAAAACCCCAATCATATCTCAAGTAGACGCGGGAAAGAAGCATACAACCACCATTAACAGAAGGGATTGCAAGTCACGTGTCAGTCAGCCGTCCTGCAGATGCAGCTTCACTTCAGCCGCGACAGATTGTTGTGATCTCTCATTCTCTGACGCGTTCTCGACATTGTTATTTACACACGCCACTTCCTTCTTCAAAACATTCGTATCTTTGCTGTAAACTTCACTCCAGACAAATCTCTGGACGTGATCACTGATTCACTGCCACAAGCGACTCATTCTAAAGCCAAAACTCACGAACAGACAATGCACCTCCAGACATCTCATATCCTAATCCTAGGCGATGAAGGGGTAGGAAAACGTTCCATCATACATACCGTAGGTCCCCTAATCGAGTTTACATCAAGAAAGAAGATCTGACGCACTTAGTGCCTTCACCATCATGACAGACCAGAATATGATAGCCCCACATCAGAAGCACAATATCGGACCGCGATCATAGTCAACGGCTCTATGCAAAGACTAGAACTGCAGTCTCTCAATTCGAACACTGTGTCCGAATATCCCAGTCTGGCGAGTCATGTACTCCGAGAAGTCGACGGATTGATGTTCGTTTTCGACATCTCGTCCGCCGAATCTTTCGAGGGTATCAAAAAGACGTACAGCCAGTTACGCAAAGAGAGAAACCATCGACCAATCATCCTCGTAGGGAACAAATCAGACAAACTCAATACCCGAGAAGTGAGTACCAAAGCAGGTCTCCAACTAGCCCAAGCCTGGCATTGCGACTTCTTGGAAATCACGGCCACGAAGAACGGCGAAGCAGACGATGTATTCCTCAATCTCGCGACACAAATACTGCAAGCGCAAAAGAAGAACAAAGCAAGAGAAGCAAGGAAAACGCCCACAAGCCGCAGACTGTCGGTAATATCAACACTAGACCAAACCCAGCGCAAAGTCGAGTCCAGCTTCGACCGGCTGTGGAATAAGCTACTTCGCTGGATCCTAGGATACGATCGTCGATTGAGATTCGAACCGATCTCAGGACTTGAATCTTTTCAATCCCCTCCAATCCCAACTATCTCTTCTTTCTCACTGCCGGAGAAGTGGAGTGTCTGGAAGAGTCGCTCGTCGGCTGATACGACGTTGAGGGATTTCGATGGGGGATATTCGGGGAAAGGTCGTTGACGACATGGAACATTGGACATTGAGGGGAAGACTAGTCAGGATCTCGTTTGTTTACCTTGTCTTCAATCCTGGAGAACGGGGGATGTCCGTACCCATCGTATTCTCCCAGCCCCACATCCCCACAAACCTTGGACTTGTTGCTGTACTTCGGCCTTATTACCCCGCCAGGAACGATCTCCATATTTCCATATTCCACTGCAGGGTGGACGGCAACTTCAGACGGCAGGTGTCATTCTGAAGTTCAAGATACCCATCGATTTATATAAGAGATATTTTCGCTACTACCATGTATCTCTTCAAGTTCTCGCTTTTCTTCTGCATATTATTGTGTTTGGAGTGGGAGTTTTCTGCAGCCGAAGCCGAAGCTGAAGCTGAACCCGTCGATATGATTCCACCAACTCCCAAAAACAGGACCTGGTTCTCTTCACTATCGATGCACGTTCAGTCTCTACTCTACCTATCTCAAAGCTTCGCCAATGCATCATCCCCAGTCTTAGACTGCTCTCCCGAAGCTCTAGCGAAACTCCTCCCCTCACACGCGACGATAACCTACGCAGTGCCAGTAGCAGCCAACGGGACCTGGTCGAAACCCTCTCCAGCATTCCCAGCGCCCAATGTCGGATTACCAGAACTATGCGCCGTAGCAGTCAACGTCATCTCATCTCCAACTTCCTCCTACAACTTCGGGCTTTTCCTTCCTGGGGAGTGGAATTCTCGGTTCCTCGCTTCAGGGAATGGAGGGTTCGGGGGTGGTATCAATTGGAATGATATGGGGACGAGTGCACTCTCAGGTTTCGTAGGCATGTCTACAGATACGGGTCATTTATCAGTTGGTGGTGATGCATCGTGGGCATTGAATAACCCCGAGACGCAGACTGATTGGGGATACCGAGCCATGCACGGGTCTGTCGAACTCGGGAAGCTCATTGTTGAGAAGTACTACGGGTCGAAGATCAAGTACTCGTACTACTCAGCTTGCTCGACCGGTGGAAGACAGGGGTTGAAAGAGATCCAAATGTTTCCTGAGGATTTCGACGGTGTTGTCGCAGCAGCACCTGCGTGGTGGACATCTCGTCTTCAACCATGGAGTCTCACAGTCGGGCTTTGGAATCTGCCCGTTGACAGCCCGACACATATCCCATCCACACTCTTCCCAATTATAGCAAAAGAAGTGATGCGGCAATGCGACCCGCAAGACGGGTTGATCGACGGCATAATCCAAGAACCCGAGTCCTGCGAATTCATCATGGAGACACTCCTCTGCACGCCTCAATCCGATACCTCAACCTGCCTGACCGCACCCCAGCTCAAGACACTATACAAAATATACCACGACTGGAGCGAAACGAACAACACCTTCCTCTTCCCGCACTACTCCCTCGGCTCTGAAGCCCAATACCCATTCCTCCTCAACATGGACTCCAGCACACCAAGTTCGTACGGGACATCCTGGATCTCAAACATGGTTCTCAACCTCACAGACGCCGGCTACAACTGGTTCACAGGCTACAACATCTCCAGCGTCTTCCTGGGCGACACTTTAAACCCAGGCCACGCCAACGCCGACAACTTCGATATATCCCCCTTCGCTCGTCGAGGCGGGAAATTAATCCACTATCATGGCTACAGCGACGGTCTCATCCCCGCAGAATTCAGCATCTATTTCCACAAACAGGTCCTCGCCACTCTAATCCCGCGGGGGGCGACCGTGGATGATTTCTATAAATTCTATTTAGTGCCTGGCATGCAGCATTGTAGTCGGTCCGCGGGCGATGCGCCGTGGTATATCAATGGAGGGGGTCAGGCCTTCACGTTGGGGAGTACGGTGCATGGTGTCCCTGGGTTTGAGGACGCGAGACATGATGTGCTGAGGGCGGTTATGAGGTGGGTTGAGGAAGGGGTTGCGCCGGGGGAGATTGTGGCGACGAAGTTCGTGGATGATGTTGTTGGGAGGGGGGTGAAGAGGCAAAGGAAGTTGTGTCCGTATCCCGAACGGGCGAGGTTTGATGGGGTGGGGGATCCGGATTTGGAGGGGAGTTGGAGGTGTGTGGGTTTGTTTTAGAGAGGAGAGAGGAGTTGATTTAATGCAGAAATGTTGAAATGGAGGGGGGGTTTGGATGGTGTGTGTGTAAAAAGGAAAGAGCTTTCGCTGAGAGGTTGATGAAGCATTGCTCGACGGCGATATAATTGTTGGTACTTGAAGGAATTGAAGAGTGCACAAAGAAAGGCTTTTGCAATTCCAGGTGTGCTGACCTAGAAGTTCAACTGGGTATTTGGAGCCTTTTGTGATGCAGTTAGGAATGCAATTATTTAAAGCAGGTCCAAACAAAGTAGAGACAAACAAAGCAGAGTCAAAATAACAAAGTAGGAGAACTGAATGTGAGGTTGCCTTCGTCGAATACCTTCCCGAGAGTTGTAAGCTTAATTATTTTCTCTAATAAACCGAACAAGCTATTGATCCTGATCCTTATGGAAGGACCCCAAATCTTCCTTTTCATACTCGCAGAAATAAAAATTCTCCATTCTGTAAGAAAGAAAAATTTGTTCAAAGATATACACGTGATACCGACTCTCCTCGTTTAAGGTCCCTACCTAGTGGGTCATTTGTGGCAGAGTTTTTTCTGTGGTATATCTATCGAAGTCGTGGGATTGTGAGCACGAATCCAACCAATTAATACTTGGTTGCGATAGGCATAACGCCGCAGTGGCGCAATGGTAGCGCGCGAGACTTCTATTCTAAACCAGATTGAAGGTCAATCTCGAGGCTCAGGGTTCGAGCCCCTGCTGCGGTGGCGGTTCAAGTCTCAATTCTATGTGCTCATAGCAGCACAGTTACAACCTTTTTGCTTTGGTTTCCATTCTTTTTATTTCAAAAAAATAGGCATGTTTGGATTTTTTGTCACCGAAGAAAAATTATCTTTTAGCTTGATCCGATCACTTGCGTGTGGGCTCGCTTCTGGTTGGGCTCTTAAGTGTTAGTCATTGGACTACATACACTCTTCATTTGAGACTTGCCAAAATTCTCAAAATGATTTCAAGCAAATATATTATTCAATGTTTTTGAAGTACGCTGTTCAACTTGGCTTTAAACTCCATTCCCGACTAAGCGAGCACGTCTTTTACTTGCCTCAAAGCCAAAAGTTGGTTCATCTATTATTTCGCAAAAAAAAATCAAAAAAGAAATCTCGCCCATACTCTCTGAAAAGCTGGAACGAGCATTCACATTCTCGACATCTGCAGGATTTGAACCTACGCTCCCGGGGGAAACAGATATCAATATCAAAGTAATTCAAGTCTGTCGCGTTAACCACTCCGCCAAGATGTCTTGTTTTGTGGCTGGAAGTCGCTATGTCGATAAATATTTGAGACAGTGATTTCCAAAGAAGTGCAGTGTGGTGTGGGTGGGTTGAGCCTGTTAGCGAGATGCAGGGTTGTGGATTTCTCCTGCTGCCCTGCCCCTCCTTCCCACCCGAGTGCATAGTGGGGTGATAGGTATGGCTGCAATGCTCTTCTCAGCTGCTGGCAAAAGAAAAGCGCTTATGAGGCCAATTGCACTTTCATTGAAATGGCTGACCATGCTATTGAAAAGGCCACCCCTCAATGGGGGCCAAAGATACAAAGGTACCCGTCCTTGGCCCTGCAATCATTCGGAACAACCCCGACACAGTCAGAAAGGGAACACGATCCCAAACATTACGAGTTCTGGAAGCAACTCAGCTGATTCGGGCAGAGCCTGTATGTCGTACAGAAGCAAAAACAATGGAGGTGCATTTTAGCTTTCCTTACTCAGCCCTCTACTCATCGTTGTACTTGGCACCATCCCCCAATGATACTGTATCTCCCGCGCATGTATCTCAGCCACGATCATTCGATTTATTTCATCAGTAAGCTGTCAAGGGACGGGGAAATCCCAATCTTGGCTTCTCTTGGGTGCGAGTGTGTGTCATGAATTGATAAGTCATATTCGCAGCTTGGGAAGATGCAATGTTGTTTGGCTTCGGTCACTCGCTTGGCCTCAGCGAGTGTTGAGCATTTTTCCTATTTGCTGTCTCGCTGGACAGCTCAAGAGACTATCGCGGGACTAGAGACCGTTTCTCCTCGGCGGTAAACAGGATTGCAGAAAGTGTTCACAAAATTCGGCCGGGTCTTCAATGCAGCAACACTAAACTACCCACTAGTCACTGCCATAGCCTGGTTCTGACAGGCAGTGCACGTTGTACCCACAACACCGGGTACCGATCTTCGATCGGTCAAAACCCAAAGTACATTCCTACTGGCTACCTAGATATCCATCGCTCCTCCCGAATGCAATGCAGAGGTATAGTCATCCATCCACGAGCTCGGTTAAGAAAAAATAACGTGTATGCAAGGTGTGTTATTCAGCCTCTTGGCGATGCACTCCAGCCTCAACCGACCTATCACGACCAGGGTGTTTCTGGATTTATATCCTCAAAAGGACGTTGAGATAGAATGGCACTATGGGGAAAGATTACGTGCTCTCTGTTTACTGGGACGTTGGAGTTGCATTTTCAGCCTTGTTGGGACCGAAATTGTGGGGTCTATGGAGCGAAGGATGGCGGTGATGGTTTTTAGCCACGAAATCCATGGTTGACTGCATCGAGAATGGGGGCCGCTGATAGAAAGCTGAATCGTATTAGTCGACGGTGAAGCAATGAGAAACTTCATATAACTGTGGGTTTCCCGCTGACTGTCCTTCTATTTTCGTCATTATTACCTCTCTCAATACCTACAAACACCAAGCAGAAGATCAGTATTTTAGTACTGCACCTTCCGAAAAAGTCATCATGGATCAAGAATGTATTCAGTTTGTCCCTTTCAGTCATTATGATTGGACATTTGCTCGGCAAGGTTGGCTCCCCTGGAAGTGAGTCCCCCTCATCGTCAGCACTTAGTAGTCGACTAACGTCAACAAAGCCCAACCGCATTTTGCCTCATCGCTTCGGTCTGTGCAGTTGCATATTGGATGAGCATCGAACTCTTACTCCTCGTTTACGTAACATTCAAACGACATACCGGAGTCTACTTCTGGTCCATCATCATCACAACCATCGGCATCGTCCTCCAAACAACTGGATACATCCTCAAGTCCTTCGAGAACACATGGCCTGTGGTGTTAGTCGTCATCATCTGCAAGGTCGGCTGGGTTGCAAACGTCACTGGATTCTCCATCGTTCTGTGGTCTCGCCTCCATCTCGTCGTCAGGAATCCTCGCATCCTGAAATGGCTTCTCGTCCTCATCCTCGTCAATGGTCTCCTCTGCCACACTCCAGTCGTCGTCTTCGAATTTGGTCTCATGACAAGACATCATGACACCTACTACAGACCCATGCAAATCATGGAGCGTATCCAACAAACCGTCTTCACCCTCCAAGAAACAGTCATGTCCTGTCTCTACATCTACCACACGCGTAAATTCCTCAAGATCGGCTACCCAATGCAAACCCGCAAAGTGATCGGTCTCCTCCTCCTCGTCCAACTCCTTGTCATCGCCCTTGACGCCGTCCTAACACTGTTCGACTACACCGACAAGTTCACGCTGAAATGTACACTGCACCCACTCGTCTACTCCATCAAACTGAAGCTCGAGTTCATCGTCCTGAACCAACTCCAATCTCTAGTTAAGCGAGGCATGACTACGGGTTTAGGCGCAGCACCAGCCATCCCAGCAGACGACGAGAAACACAACCGCGCATCGCCATCACCGTCACCAACACCATCACCATCACGTTCGCCGCGAGTGGCGACGCCGCGGGAAATGCAAGCGCAGACATCGAGACCAGCGCCGCGGTTCGAGACAGGGTTTGTTACGAAACCTGGGCCGATGGTGACAGAGCTCAATCTCGGGGAGCCAAGTCCCGGAGGAGAATCCATGACGGATAGTTTGGAGAGTGAGGGGAAGGCTATGGGACATAGGAAGCATGATTCGAATCAGACGCTTACGGAGAGCGATGAGCATGATTTGAGGATTGTGGTGGGCAGAGCGGATGATATTGTTGAGCAGCCGGATGATATGGAGAGGCAGTATCTGGGGAGGTGGGATGGTGCTAGGAGGGAGTGAAATTGGAGTGAAATTGGATGGAGTTTGGAGTAAATTTACTAACGACTGCGATGACTATCATGACGATCATGAGACTTGAATTTTTGGGTTGGGATTATACGAGCGGGGGATGGTGGTTGTTTGTCTTTTCAGAAAATCGGCAGCTAATTCCTAAATATGGGTCAATAAACCTAATTTCCAAAAACTTTTCAAAGTTTCCCATTAATGTATCGATCCCGAACTTTTTTGAACTCTACTTCAAAATTAGTCCTCACCTAATAAGATAGAGGTCTTCGATTCCAGGAGGCGCAGACTTGGACTGAACCAACTAACTGGCTACATGTTATACGAAGCTACAGGTTACGAAACTCAAAACATGCAAGAAGCTGAAAAATCTTACCAATCGAACTTCCTAAACAGCCCATCCCTTATCACCCCAGACCGGCCCTCCAGGCGGCGTGTACGCATTACTAGCGGACACATCTCGGGCCTCAGAAGATCTGCACCCCTAATATTAGCAAAGAAACTCAAAGAACAGTCACTAGACGCCAAAAAATAAACCTCCTGTAATCGTATCATCACCCCCATAACCCGCAGTAGCGCAATAACCTCAGGCACCTCCGTCATTCCACCACCCATAAAAGTAACCTAATGACAACTACGATAAAACTACGCTAGCCCACACCCGTATCCGTATTCATGCGCTGCAAACCTAGAATCTCACGGCGAAGGATAAATATACCGCCCCGGAGCGGTTATAGAGGGAAAGTTATTCCGTATGTGCTGTTTTGGGTAGGAAGACGTTTACTGGCGGGGCTCAGGGGGTGGTTCGGGTAAGCCAGACGTTACGCTACCTGTGCTACCGGAGAAATAGAATAGACCTCCTAATTTCAAAGATAGATATGGAAGGTTGTGAGCTCGGAAAATCTTAACAACGGGAATGGGAAGGATCTCACATAAAGGTTCAAGAAGAGGAGATGCTGTGCCACGAAGACTTGGCCGTATCGGGGCTCCCTTTCCAGGCCGAGGCTATCACATAACCAACAGCAGTAACAGGCGAGAAATGAACTCTTAGTTTGGTAGAAAACACTAAACCTATAATTAACGACCTCTAGAAGTATACAATAACTTAATCTCCCAATTTCCGCTTCAACACCCGTCCGGGGTTGACATAGACTTGACACCAGCCTGGAGAGCAAGAATGTGACTCCAATCATGACTATCCTCCCCAGCACTCCAAGCCATAACACCACCAAGTCCCTTAGCCTTGACAATCTCCTCGAATTTCCTGGCAATCAAAGCAGCGGTGTCCCAGGTCCAGAACATGTTGTTCGCCTTGTCATAATGATACTCTCCACCTGCTGCTTGGTCGGTAGTTCCATTCGCCATCGCAGCCGTGAATTGCGAGGTGATGGAAGTGCTGTTGCAAACACCGAAGTCGGATTGGCAGTTGGTGCAGTGACCAGCAGTCGAACCGCAGAACCCAAAGGCACTGCAGCAATTACCGGGAGTGCAGAAATACCCGACTGATGCTCCGCAGGATCCGTCAGGGCTCTCCGTGAGGTTGGTTGGTGTAACGGCGTAGTTGGCAATCTCGAAAGTCATGGCTCCACTCTTACCAGTATCGGCTCCCTCGGCATCTTCTAGGAGGACGGTTGCGCATCCCAGACCGGTCTCGCATGGGTAGGCTGGGTCGGTGGCGAAGTATTTGGCGTAGAATGCGAATCCGAGGTT